CTACTATATGCCAAGCACTGTACTAAGCCCTTTACAGACATTATCACAAAGCCTCATACAAATATTTGAACCTTACAATGGCCATGTGAAGTAGGCACAGGCACTATTATTCTCCCCATTTTACAAATGAGGAAACTGAGGCAAATAGAAGTTAAGTGACTTGCCCTGGGTCACACAGTTTAGTAAGTGTTTGAGGCCAAATTTGAACTCGTCTTCCTAACTCCAGGCCCTGCCTAAACATATATGTGTATGTCTTTATATGAGGCAAAGAAGTGAACCCTTATGATCTGCAGGTCCCTGAACCACTTTTAGCTCTGCCTCAGCTCCTAATCTTTCAAACTCATGAGGTTGCCTCTAGGGCTTTCCATCTCTGAAACATCATTTGGTCACTTGTACTCAGGCACAGAAACACAGACTGGAAGGGGCAGGGGCCTTGAGTTCCTCACTCAGGCTGATCTGGATGATGCAGCATTAGGCATGAGTAGTTGTCATTTCTGACAGGATCAAAGAAGGTACCCCTCCCTTACCTCTCAATGGGAGTCTGGGGGAGAAGGCATTACAAACTACATGTTCAGAAGAGTGGAAGAAGAAAGGGAGAGTGGAAGCTGTCTTTGACACCTAGGCAGAACTTTCCCCCTCCTCACCACTATCTTTAGCAGGTGGGAGGAGGAGAGGCAAAGGACCGCCCGTGGTTTCTTGCTTGATAGAACACCAAGCCCTTCAATGCTTTGCCAGGACGCTCCTGAAGTCCAAGAGATCAGGGGACGCTCTTTGCCCTGGAATCTAGTAGATATGCACGTGTGTGTGTGTGTGTGTGTGTGTGTGTGTGTGTGTGTGTGTGTGTAAAGGTATTAACCATCAGCCATCTGGACCTGGAACTCTGATGTGACAGGCCTAAGGGTCATTTTGAGGAGCCTTTCACAGCATTTCTCAGGTTTATGTCTCCATTTAGGGCAACCCTGGCTTATTTTGCTTCGGGCACTTGGGCTACCAATACATCGATCATAAAACAGTTCTTCCTTTATCAGACAAAAATGGGAAATAGGCTCATGCCACACCTCCCTTGACTGTTGGGAAAACTCCCTTCCTTCTGTGAAGACCCTTCTTTGCTTGTCTTCCTGTTGGTAGCAGAGACATGGTGCCTAGGTTTGCTTCCCCTTGTTCCATTCCTCACCATTAAAGCATCTTTTTCGGCATCCTTGGTGCACATGATTCCTCTAGGGACCTCATGAACGTGTGGGCCTTTCTCCAGGTTCTCTATGCAGTTCTGTGGTTGCTCTTCCATCTTACTGGGCCCTGTTACATCCAGAAGCAGATTCCTTTGTGTTCATGTGCCTCAGGAGTATCCCCATGAAGGAGAGGAGGAAAGCTTACCTGTGTACCCACTATCATGCTTGTATATGTTTAAATACAAGTCTTACATCAGATAAGGGTAAAATAGGTGATATATACCTTTCTATTGACACCTTGAACACTTCTTTAGAAAATTCTCTAATAATGTAGCCTCAGTTTCAGATTAGATATAACTTTTTGAGCAGCTTATAGTATGTATACACCAATGTGAAAGACATTTTGGGGTCAGTTAAATATATTTTTTGATAAATGTATTTTCTTTCTGCTTCATCTAATGTAATAACAGTTTTTTAAAACAATGCATAGCATCTATATTTTGGAGTCTGTTACCTTTTAATTAAATGTTTGCATAAAAGTTCCAAAATTATAATTTTGAAGTTGCTTCTAATTATTAAATACTCAAGTCTGACAGTTAGTTATACCACAAAATTTTCCTGTGGTCTCTGTTCAGGCCTTTTATTTCTTAATGTAGAAAAAATGCAATCATAATGCTTAACCGCTGTGTGAGAGAACTGAGAGGAAAAGTGGGTAGTAAATAGGTGGCAAACTGACCCTTTTCCTTTTTTTCCCATTAAAGTATACTCTGTTTGCTGCGGTAATTGAACACACCCTGAGGGAGTCTCAAAGTAGTGGTTTGACCTTTTAAAAAATTCTTAGATTAATATGGTGAGACTTTAGGAGCAATGTGATACTTAAAATTTTTTCATTATTACCATTGTCATCATCATTTTTACTTAGAACCTCATCTAGAATCACTTAAAGTACGGTTGTGCTTGTTCCCCTTAACAGCAACTGCCATTATGAGAAGAATCCCTAAAAACTGACCCTCTTTAGCTCTGATTCAGTTGAGGTTTAGTCTTGCCGCTGACGTAGAATGTAAAAGGCATCTCTAAGTGTATGTAGCAAATGAAACTTTCACACGCATTGCCTTCACATAGCCAATAGCTTGCTGAGGACATGCAGATTCATTCATAAGGGGATTTCAGACTTCACCAGAAATTGCTTTTAGATTTCGTTGACTCAGGGGCAGTTCAGGCTTTGCAGAGACTGTGCTGAAGGTGCATCTAGCTGATAAGAAAGTTCAGTGGTCTTACAGGTAAGGGAAAGTTTACATTCCATTGTTTCTTTGAGTTTGATGTAGTTTGTAGTCTAGCACAATGCTTTGTACGTAGTAGGCACTTAATGTTTGATTATTTCAGTTATTTCTGCGTGATAAAGGATTTGCCTCTACATAGAATTTTTAGTGCTGATCTTTTATCAGTTGCCCCGTTGGGTGACAGATCTAGAGGTGAAGTGGCCCTTGGAAATCACCTCATCTAATCTCCCCCTTTTACATTTAAGGAAGCTATTGTGTTGTTTGATTTATACTCTTTGGAGTTAATTTTCATTCTTTTACTTACAGAATTTTTTTTTGTTCCTGTGGTTTAAAATGATATAACCAGCATTTCTTAGACATTGGTTATGCAAGTTCTAATTCAGAACTATAGTCATGTTTTTTAAAGAACATGAAGAAAGAAATAGTGAATAAAGTAGGCAAATAAAGTGGTGATTTCTGAAATGTCGATTGTTTTATGTTACCAAACTTTCCCTTTTTGCCTTTTTAAAGTATAAGATTCAGAAGCTTTCCTGCTTCCTGTATATACTCCAAACACTGAGATAAGGAAGCATGAAAGCTCTGCTTCCCTTTTCCTCCCCAAGTCTGTTTTCTCTTGGGATCACCAATTCAGCCTCTCTCAGACTCAGGCATGAGGTTTTGAATGTGTACATTCAGGAAAGTGGTATTCTGCTCAGAGAATGACTAAGGCATCTTGGATGAATTCTGTCTTTGAAGGAGGTGGGAAAGTTACATCAGATCAGCATTTACAGTAAATGCCTTTTCCCCTCTTTCCTGTAATGACTGCCTGTGAAGGAATGCATGAGTTCTCATTTTGAGGAAATGAGATTTGTACAGCTCTGTGCAAAACTCTCTGTTTATCATTAATCAGCCATATTTGAATGCTAAAAGTACTCTAGTCAGAATCACTATTGGCAAAGTAAAAACAAATGCCATAAATGTAGCCCATTTTGTGTCTTAGAGTTAGTGTCATCATGGTCATGTCTAAAATGAGATAAATTCCTTTATTTCAAGTTCTTTGTAAACCACTGGCCATCCTGACGAAAGGTTGTAGAAGTGATGTTTGCACTTCTTTTGGAGATAATATGAGGATTTGATATTATCATCACACTGTCTGAAGGTTAGGAAGGAATATGTAGAGGTGATCAGTTTTTTTCTTCTGCTCATTAGTAATGATATAAGAAAGGGACAGTTGAAAGTCATCTAAGTAACATCTTGTAGCATCTTAAAAGCCTCATTGAACACTATCACTTTTCTACAAACCTTTATGACCCTCAAAAAGTTTTTAAAATGTTATCTCCTTTAGCTAAACAATGTTTTTTTTTAAAGATGAAGGAAACTGAGTCCTAAAAGTGAATGAAATTCATAGGTTATCAGCAACAAGAGCTAAAGCCACACCAAGCTCCCCAGACTTTTGGATTAAATTTTGTTCATGAGAGCATGTTGTGTCTCTCAGGCCAAAAGCACTAGTAATTATAAGCATTTTTGCTCAGCTCAGTGGCTTCCAAATTTTTTTGATTGGGCGTCCCTATTAATAAAAAAATATTTGTGAAGGCATCCCCAAAATGTGTATATTTATTTACTTACACATTATGTATGTATTATTATGCTAATACTTTTGTACCTTATATGAAACATAAAATAGAAATTTTGAATGATGAAGATAAGAGTATTTGATCCTTGAGTCAGTAGGAGCCACTGGACTTTATTGTATAGGAAGGTGACGTGGTCAGACCTGTGCTTTAAGGAAGCACTTGTGTGCAGGATGGATTGGAGAGGGGGAGACACCGTACAAAATCATCTGGTCTCACCCTGTCATTTTAGAGATGAGGAAAGGCAGGCTCAATGGTTTGCTAAGCCAGTAATCAACAAATCCAGGTCCTCTGATTCCAAAGCCAGTCTTCTTTCCACTATTTCCCTGATAGGTAGCCATGGAGCCATCCTCACACTGGAGCTAAGTGGGAAGAGGTGGGGCCAAACTTTCTTCCTGTCCTAACAGCTCTCTTGAATGAGATCATGGCCAAACCACAGCATGGGGATTGTGGCCACTCACATTGGTGGTCCAGAGAGTTAGGGATAAAGGAGCTGCATTGGTTACCAGACATGAAGTGCTCTTGCTGCTTGAGTTTTGAGTGATAAAATTAAGTAAACCCTTTAAATTTTGATAAAGACTAGAAGGGTGTGGGGAGACCAGCTGAGAAGCCCCCAGGTCCACTGGTTCATTTCACGTTTGGGCCAAGCTGCTGGGAGAGTTGCCAATCCCTGAGAAGGCAGGAAGTTGCCATTTATCCAGGCCAGTTTTCTTAGGGGCCTCTGGGCCACAAGAGGATCCTTGGCAGCCCCTCTCAGCCCAGAACTCCCTGACCTCAATCTTGTCATGATTGGAAGGACTTGACATATTTCAGCTCACAGAAATGGTGGTTTCTGTTTCTGATGTGACCCTTTTCTCTGCTGCTTCCTCACCTCCAGTCTCACCAGCCACCCTCAGATGCTGTGTTGGCCAAAAATATCAGCTTCCTCATCAGCAGCTGGAGAGGGACAAGGGTCCTTTGTCTCCCTCCTACCCTTTCCAGACTGTGTTTGAGTGTCGTTTCCATACCATGTCTCAGAGCATAGGAAAATAAAGCCCTGTACCCAGACCATGAGAGAACTCCCTCGGATGCTGTTGAGGTAAATGACAGATTCTCAGTCACCTCCTAAGCATATTCATCACTGATGAAAACAAGGGAGGAATAAAGGGAGCAAATCTGTAAGTGCTCTGACACTATGTAGGAAGGAGATGATTTACAAGGAATATTTTTACCCCGGGCCAGAATATTTGAGTGAGAGAGAATGCGGATGGACCTCACCCCAATATCGCCACCACCACTCCCAGACAGGGGAAGGCGGGAGGACCTGGTGGGTGGGGAGAAGAGAGGAAAGGAGCACAGGCCGTCATCACTGGTAGAGTTTCTCTTTGGAAGGAAGTGTACCTTCCACGTGGGAGGAAGCCTGCCCCAGTTGAATGCTCTCACCCTGAGTGAAGCCCTATTTTCATAGTGCTAGTTATAGTTCTTCATTAGGTAACTTGGAGTAGTTTAAAAAAACCTCAGCACAACTTCAGTGCCAATGCTGCTTTCCTGGACTCCTCACCTAGGATTTTCCGTATAAATTAGATGCCATTTAATTCATGTTCTGTGGTCTTTCCCATTAACTTTTAAGGAAAATAAAAACAACCAAACAAAACATCCTTTCAAAAGCAAGTGAAGGATAAGAAACTAGTCATGTATGTTTGTCCTTCCTATGACTTCAGTTAAAATTGTCAAGTCCCCTCTAAGCCCCACTCCCTGTTTGCTCTTCTTCCTGTCAGCCAGTCAGCCTGGTGATTAGGTCAGTAAATTATACTGACCTTCAAATACTGATTGCTGTGACAGTTCAGGAAGTGACCAGGTCTTTGGAGCCAGGAAGACCGGAGTTCATATGTAGACTCAGATACTCAGTAGCTCTGTGACTCTGAGCAAGTCACTTAACCCCTGTCTTCCTCAGTTTCCTTATCTCTAAAATGGGAACAATAATAGCACATATCTCCCAGCACTGTTGTGAGAATAGAATGAGGAAATATTTTTATAGACCATCATAAGCCTTAAAGCACTGTGAATGCTACTATTGTTATTATTAAACAAAATAATTTCTTTCCCACAGGTTAAGAGCCTTCTGTGGAAATAGTGCCAAATAACAGATACATGCACCTAAAGGTAGAGAAGTTTCTAATTTTGTCTTTGTGGGACCCTCTTGAAAAGCATCGACTGATTTTTGTCTCATGAACAATATACTCATTTTTCTCCAAGACTCTTTGTGCTCTACCTCATGGTTTTTTTCCTGTCTTCTGTCAGAATAGTCATTTATGATTAGCCAGTGGTGCTGTCGTGTAATTCATGAGCTCCATAGCCTTATCTCCATTACACCAGGGATGCTATCACACAATTCTTTAGGACCACGGCCTTTCCCCTTAACTTTTGGGGGAAACCCCACCCTTTCAAAAGTGGGTGAAGGACAACAAACAACTCATACAGGTTTAGTCCCATGACTTCAGTTAGCAGTGTAAAATCCTCCTTCCTCTTCCTGTTCCAGCCTACAATTAGGTCAGTAAACTATACCACTTTCTTGCCTAAAATAGTTTCCCTTTTCCCTTGATCTTTTCTCTTTTTCTTTCTCTTTATGGTGGTAGTAGAATTATCCTATGATTAAACTCTTGAACATCTAGACATCTATCTAAAACCAAACCAACATAAAGAAATGAATCTTTGCTTTCCTTCTCTAATGTCATAATTGACTCATGAACTTGCAGGCTAGGGCAGAACAACATTTCTAATCAACTCTTGGTCTCAGAATTAGAGAAACATAGGGTTTGGAATCAGCAATGAGCAATAGGGATGCTAGGAAGGAAGAGTAGGATAAGAAGATGTCGTAAGTAAGGGATAAGAAGGAGTGAAGGACAAACAAAGAGAAATAAATTACTGTAAAGTTAAGCCATGCATGGGGCAGCTAGGTGATGCAGTGATAGAGTGCCAGCCCTGGAATCAGGAGGACCTGAGTTCAGATCTGGCCTCAGACGCTTGCTAGCTTTGTGGTCCTGGGCAAATTACTTAATCTTGTTAGCCTCAGTTTCCTCATCTGTAAAAATGAGCTGGAGAAGGAAATGGCAAACCACTCCAGTATCTTTGCCAAGAAGACCCAAAATGGGGTCACAGAGAGTCAGATACAACTGAAACACCTAAACAACAACAATGTAGAAGGAGATTTTGAAATTAAAATTAAAACCAATGCTTTGTTTATGCATCTCAAAATCATCACGTTCTGAGAGACTACAGCCATTGATCGCTTTCAGTTCTTTGGTGGTCAAATAAGAAAGCATAGGTGACTAAAGCTGGTTTTCAAGTTATTTTAGCCCAGCTGTTAAATATTATGGGGACAACAACATCATATTTAAAATATTACTAGTTTTAAATAATGCCCCAGCTCAACCAGCTATACCTGTGGTCTGCACTGTGCTGGTCATTGCCAGTTTCAGCTCCCAAGGACTTCCAAGGTACCCCTTGGGGCTTTCTCTAGAGAACCCTCTCTCTTGCTGCTTCCAAACACATATTGTTGCAGACTGTTAAGATTCCCTTTGGTTGTACTGGCTTCTGACTGATTCCTTTTGTGGTTCTGGAGTAGAAGAAGTCAAGCCAGTTTCTTACTGGATTTCTTGATCATTATTTCTAACTTCATGGTTTTGATAGAATCAGTATGTTGGAGCTGGGCGATTTGACCCCCATTCAGGCAGCCTTCTTGGGAGGAGGTCCTCGTTGACTGACTCTTGATTGGTTATCATATGAAAGAGGAATTACACTTGTTTGACTTGGCTGTAGTTACAACTAGATAAAGCTCAGCATAAGGGAAAACTTCATAACCATCCAATCAGCCATGAACAGAGGGTCACTTTGGGACAAGTCAGTTCCCTGTCACTAAGTTCTTCCTAAGGAGACTTTTTGACTACTTGTTAAGAATGCCACAGATGGGTTTCATGGGTTAGCTAGGATTCTACTAGATAATTGCTGTCATTTCTTCCAGCTTTAGACCTATTCTATGATAATCTGAGTCAAGAGAAGGTTCAATTCAAGGTTCAATTCCTTGCTTTAATATTTACTGTTTCTATGATTCTGGACAAGTCACTAAATCTCAATGAACCTCAGTTTCTTGCTCTAGAAAATGGAGACAATACCTAAGCGTTATTGTGAGGTAAATTGCTGTAAAGCTTAAAGCCCTGTGTAAATGTAATCTGTGACCCATCCCCACTTTCTCTGCCATATAACTGTAGCCTACAAGCGGGGCATAGCCACAGCCAAAAATATTGCCAACACCCTGAAGAAGCAATAATGCCAATTATCTATTAAGTTCCCTCTCTTTCTCACCCCTCTGAACATCCAGAATCATTTAAAACAAAATGAAAGCATACTAACCCATGACACAATCAGTATCATTGTTCAAGTGTGTGTTTATTATGAAATATTTCTTTAACCAATTGATTGTTTAAGGAGGTCTAATGTCTCCGACTTTGCCCTTTAATAGGCTGTATGTTCTACTTACAAGCTATAAGCTTACTTCCTATATGTAGCTTATAGTTGAGTCTAGGAAATGACAGTTCATAGAAACCTCTCTTAATTAGACTTAATTGGCTGGGGAAAGTCCTTAGTTCATATTCAGTGGCACTGTTGAATCTTAATGATTTCAGTATTTGGCCAAGGGAGATACCTAGTGGTAGTGATCCTTCATTCTGTGTCCCAGGGGCAAGTGCAGTGCTTTTAGAAGGCTCAGAAACACTTTAGTTTTGTAATCCAGAGGAAACCCCATTTCTAGTAGAATTCTTGTTAACATAGGCACAAAAGACAAAAGGTCAGAGAGTCACAGAATGTGAGAGGACAAAGAGGCTATAGAGGAACATCTAGTCTATCCCATTCATTTGATAAATGAGGAAATTGAGGTCCAGATAGACTGTGATTTAGGTAAGGTCACACATCGAGTTATCGGTAGGCAAAATCCACCTTCCTTTCCGCTGTACCACACCGTGCTATGTTTTGAGCCGTCATTGACTTGTTGTGGTATCCTAGATCTTAGATCTGCTTTTAATCTCTATAGTTCATGATGTAAATGTCATTTGTAAAATGACACTTCATTAATTCAGACTCCATGGAGTTAGAATTTGTGATGGTTAAATGCACATTAAGCTGGTTTACTTTTACTCTCTAGAGAGAAAATTAATAGTATAAACAAGATCATAGGGTCTATATTTAACCCACTTAACAGAACAGACTGTTTTGAGACTTTAATACATTGTATTCAAATAGTTCTGCTTATTATAAATCATTCCTTTCTATTCATTAAAGCAAGACCTGTGCTTGGAAAGACTTTGTTAACATTTACAATTAGTTTGTCTTTGAAAGCAATAAAACTCCATTTCTTTTTTGAAAAAATTCTGTAATTAAGAACTCTCACTAATTCAGTCTTTCAATTATTTAGTGAGGTTTTGTGATAATACCCTTTCTTCTTCAAAGACATGAGAATTGAAAGGTTTTTTTAAAATCTGTACATTTAAACTCCTTGAAAATATGTACATTTTTAATATAAAGAGTGCTTATGAGTACTTATCGAAATTATTTGTACCCCCACAGGAGGTTTGTAGGAGAGCCACTTGCAGCAGCCCACAGCTTTTTTTTCCTCTTTTTATTCCCACTCCATCCATGAAAGGCTACTACCTTGAAGCACCACCCACCATAGCTTCACACAGCCCTGCTTTGCTCCTAGCTCCCTGTACCTCCTGTAGCAGTCTTAAAATACCCCAGGCAGTATAAGCTGGTGGCAATTAAGTACAAGCAAAGGTTTGTTTTTTCTGGGAGAAGTGGCCCTCACAGACCTCATTTCTCCACTCATAGCTGGAGAGCAATAATGGTAGTTTGTATATGTGTGCATATAATACAATAAAAGCTAGCATGCTATATTTGATAGAGAGCTGGCCCATGTCAGAGTCAGGATGATCTTGGTTCAAGCCCTGCCTCTGACATGGACTGATGTCATGACTCTAGGCAAGTCATTTAACTTCTAAGTGACCCCAAGAATCTCACTCTCCTGGATGGATAATACGGTTCTCAACCTACGTTGCAGGTAATCACAGGAAACCTTTAATGTACTCACCAATGAGATGCTGAAATACCTTTAAAGATGATCATTTTATGATAGATTATGTCAAAAAGGTAACAGCCAATTAGTTAATGAAACAAATTGGCCATACCTCTGGGATTTTTAAAAAGTGAGCTCTGAAGAGTATGAGCAAACAGAGATTAGAACAGTTGTGGAGTAACACCCTGCGGAAGTAATTTCTGTGTTCTTCCCCCACCATGGGTCATGGCATCTTGTAGTAGACTAGGAGACATCCCATCCAGAATTAAATAATAGGAGAGATTGCAAGGAAGACCTATGTATGGATGAAACCATTGCAGAGAAGGGAGAATTTCTCTCTGAACCGCACCCTCCTTAGTCCATGTTGCTTTGAATTAGACCAGTAAAGAGATACTGCATGTTGCAGGGAATAGACATACACATTACAGACAGATAAAGATACAGTGAGATAATTTCTCCAAGGGAGGAAACAGCTTCAAGGATTATGATTTCTGGCAGCAGAGAAGAAGGCCAGCAGTAGACTCAAGAGATCAGCAGACCCTGGAAGCCCAGCTGAGCATCCCACCAACTAGTAACTGTAGACCCAAGGGAAATTTTTGAGAGGACTATACAAAGAAAGAAATAATTTCTAGGCACTGCAATACTAGTTGTGAGTTGCCTTGGTTACACATATATCCTCACTACCACTGTAATTTAAATGTGTGCTCACTCTTTCCACAGTGGTTTTATATGTTTGTGGGAGAGTGTACTCCAGGTTTCTGGGAGGCATATTTTGTAGCAACTCTGTTCTTATCATATACCATCTTAGTAAATGCCTTTGCTAATAGCTAAGTAATTGTATCTACTGGCATGACTATTAATGAGAAGCACACTGGTAGGGGCTTATGAGGTTCCGACTTTTTTTTAATTAGGAGTGCAGACTCACGGCTTACCCACAGAGCATAGAGTAGCAGCAATTCTCCAGGAACCCAACCTTCAAGTGTGAATGCATTTTAGATTAGTAGCCCAGAGGGGGTGCTGTTCTCTAAGCTGCAGAGAA